GGCTTTAGATTCTCAGTGCTGTGCTTTAACCCGCTGCGCCACCAGGGAGGGCCCCTTATGTTACTTTTAAGAGCCATTGTTGTCCTATAACATATGAAGGAACTTTTATGTCCAATTATATCCAGCTCAACAAAAGGCACTGAGTTCTCTTTACCCACACACAAGTTCTGTTTTCAATCTTTGTCATCAACATGGCAACCAATGTTTAGAAAATATCAGTCACTCTAAAGAAAATTTACACTTTAAAAATCTATTAACATGAAAACAATTGAAATTTGCCCCCACTTTAGGGTGCTAAATTTTTTTGTATGTAAAATTTCAAAACATGCTTGTTAATTGAGGGGAGTATAATGTAGCAGCAGAAACACAGATTCTCATGTCAGGCAGAAATGGATCCATAGCATATGTGTTTTTGGCAAGGTCACCACTGAATATCAAGTTCTCACCTGTGATATCATCGTGACTCTTCCTCTGATGTGGGGAGTGAACGTTAAATGGGATCAGCTGTGCCCTGTCCCAGTACCTGGCCATCCCCATGCAGGTCCAGGTCACCCCCTTGCCACCATCATATTGAGAGGAAAGCCTACATGCGAAATTCACCTGCAACGCCCAGTGCCACCAAAAACTACCTGATAAGCCACCAAAAATAGCCAGGTTGATATTTATAATTCTAAAAATATTAAGACAAATGGCCATTAGCAGGGAAACAGAAGAAATTTGATTTTGAAAATAAATGCAATTTATCTCTTTGATTAAATCACACTTCTGCCTCTGGGGTGATTTGTCCCACAATTATTATATTAGTTTTTCCACAGAGCTCTTGTTTCCAAATAGAATTAACTTATTCTTTTGTTGTGAGCACAACTAGAGTTTCACTGACAAAGAGTATGCTTGCTTCATTTTTTAAATTTAAAAAACATCCTTATTAAATCAACTTTAAACACATGAATTTTTTTAATTCATCCATAGTTCAGTCATTGCTATAGAACTATCTTCAACCATGCTTTGTGTTCTGTCAAAGCCTTAAGAAAATATATATTTACTTTTAGATTACAAAAGTACAATTCTTACTGAAATAACATAAGAAAATTTGGGAAAAAAACAAATATATGTATATATAAAGAAGAAAATAAATATCACAGATAATTGGCCCATCAAGATAATATCAACATAAGCTTTTTGGTGTATTTCCTACCAAACATTGCTTTTAATTCATACTTTGTTCTCAGTAACTTAGTTTTCCAACTGTTTTTTTAACTTAGTCACTAAATGGCAGTCCAAACACAGTTTTTAACAATTAATGTAACATTTCACTCTGTAGATCAGGGGTTGACAAATCATGGCCCAAGCATCAAATCTGGCTCTGTTTTCATAAGAAGCTTGTCAGAATATAACAACATTCATTATACATGAGGTATCTATGACTGTTGCATGCTACAATGGCTCAGTTCAGTCATTGCAACAGAAATCATATGTTCTGCAAAGCTCTAGAATATTAATATTTTGGTCTTCACAGAAGAAGTTTGCCAAACCCTAGTCTAGATGTATTCCCCTATCACTGGATAAATTCAGAGCTTTTTAATTTTTAAACTATTGTTAATAACTGCAATTTTTAGGTTTAAGATTGTTAAAAGCCTGATTAATTCCTTAGGATGTATAGGACAAGAGATCAAAGGTTTTTAGTTTTTTGATACAGACAACCAGTTGCCTTCCAAAATGCTGTACCAATATATACCCACAGCAGTTGTTTATGAGACTAGTCAGGTTTCCACATCCTTGCCCAAATTGCACATTCATCTTTTTTCTATCTGTCATGTTGGCAGATAAATAAAAGTTCATGTTCATATGCATTTCCTGGATAGTTGGGGAGGCTGAGATTTTACCACCTATGTATTAGGCATTTGCATGTTGCCTGGTTCCTTATACTGTTGGGAAAGTTTTCTTTTAGAATTATTAACATCTGTTAATATCTGTCCACTGGGTGGACCAGCCAAGATTTGTCAAGAGTGAGGGGAAAACTGGTCCAGCCTTCAGCTGGAAAAGGAGGAGAAGGGAGACAAGGAGAAAGGAGTAGGAGAGAGAGAAGGGCGAGAACAAGTAATGCCATGAGGGGAGAAGGCAGGGAGGGCGGAAGAAGAACAAGAACTGCTTTAGACAAATATTAACACGGCTTGGGTTTCCTGCACATTCTTGCCTTTTCTCACCCCACCCGCTTCCAGAGCCCCCCAACTTTTGCCCTAGCTACACTGGTCTAGGCAGGCATAGTGTCTCCACCTGTTGGTACCTCCTCGCTGCCCTCAAATACTTGCGGGAATTCTCTCTGCTGGGCTAAAGCACAACATGTCAATAGCTTCAAAACCTCCTTCTCCCCTACATCTGGCCATGCCCACCCCACATTCCCTACGGTGGCCTATAAATGGTGTGGACTAAGCCACCCAAATGGGTTTTAACCACCTGTTTTCAACCAGTGTAGGTGGTCTTACTCTGGAATATGGGAGATGTTGGCACCAATCTGCCTGGGCCAGGATCGAGTCCTTTTGACTTTTCATGTGTAGAAACTTCCAAACATGTAAAGGGGCTTGCTGAATGGTGGTCATTATTTTGGATCTTTAAAATAATGTGTTGTGGGCCCTCCCTGGTGGCGCAGCGGATTAAAGTGCAGCACTGAGAAGCTAACGCCACTTCTGCATGAGTTCAATCCCGCCTGCCCTGGAGGTGACCACATGGGCGGCAGACCTCTCCTGGCCCGCCTGCTGCTCCCCTCAGCAGTGTACTTCATATGTCCACTGTTCTGCTCACCACTCTGCCTCTGATGAGCCCTCTCACCACCCCTGCACCTCTGGCCTGTACCCCAGTTCTGTATGCACAAATAAATCGTTAAAAATAATAACAATAATGTGTTGAGGGCGCATCGCGTGCAGCAGACCAGGCTCCACAAGCGCATGATCTCATCTGTCCTCATGGCGGCTCTTCAGAGAAACACTCTTCTATCAACTTTATTGATCTTTATTTCGAGTCCCCAGAACACATTCCCTATCTGGAAAATTCCAAACCCAGCATTCTGCCTAATTTGTTGCCAAACCTTTTTCTCACGGAGCCACGATTTCCCAACCTGCCACGACTCTCCCTTTCCTAGTAGGGTCTCCTCAGACCTCCTCCAACCAGAGTTCCAGCTTCTTATTGACTTGTTTGATTTTTCTTTCCTTGGCCTTCAGATCTGCGTGACTTCTGAAGAACAACAAGACGGCTTTATCAGGGTCCTCAGTGGTAAGAAGCGAGGCCTTGTCCCCCTGGACATTCTAGAAAACGTCTGATTGCCGCCCAGCTCCCTCCGCAGCAGGCACGCTCTGCTGCAGCGCCTCATCTCACAGTGTCGACCAGAGGCTGCCTGCTGACCCGCCCCCGGGAACAGTGAGACAGGACTCCGGTCTGAGACTGCAGGGCAGCGGCCACCAGCTGGAGGGCCTACAGCACACCCAGGTGCCCGGGCGGGGGTGAGGCTGGCAGTCAGCTGAGGGAACGGAGCACTGTACCTGATCCCTGACTCAGCTCTTCCTGTGTAAGTGACCCTGCTGGACGGTGCTCCAGTTGGCTGTGTGACCCCAATGGAGAGGCTCAGATCCATGTGGCCACGTGTTGAGTCTGGTTCCAAACCTCTGTCCCCAGTACTGACGAACCAGCATCATCACGTCTGAGATTCCCAGGCTCTCTGCAGAGTGCAGAATGGGGGGGCCCTCCTTGGTAGCCCCCAGCACACCACCACAGCAGGACTCCCACAAAGTCCCTCCTTGCCTGGGATTGTGCTGTCTGTCCTGTCCCCTGAGTAAGCCCCAACAAGTGTGTTAGATACGAGGGCTATGTCAGGTTGGCACCAACTGCGAAGACCTGATCTGCCCAAATGGGCAGCTGATAGGCAGCTCCCCGTGCCCCCCTCCCCCCATTATCTAGTCACCAGTAGAGGTGACAGGACACAGGCCTAGAAAAAAAGGGCAAAGCGGGGTCAGGTGAACTCGAGAGCTCTTATTATTGAAGGGTATGCAGCCCTTTCCATGTTTAAGTCCCGTGCCTACGGGATGGCGCTGGGGAAGACGATGTGGCAATAGGCTCAGTGATGTGCACCACTTCACTTCTCAGCCTCTACATTGGGGGTGGCATTTTTCCCATGCTCTATCCTGTAGGACTCTTTTAGAGGTTGATACCACCTTGCAGAGAACCAGAAAATGGAGGAAAACCAACAACTGCATCTTAAGAGAAATGTAGCCAAATTGGAATCCATTCTTCTTTAGGCAGTCTGTGATATCCAGCACATAGTAGATGGAAGAGAATCCTTAGTGCTTCATTCTTCTGAAAGCAGAGGAACTCGGGGCCTATTTAGCAGCTAGGGAGGTCTCTCTACTCTGTACATGTACTAATGTTTACAAGAATGCAATATACTGTGATGCCTTCCTCCTCAAGACGCCTCCTAGCATTCAGACGTGCATCCTATTAGTCATTAATGTGGTTCAGTGTCAATTCACAATGACCTTGGAATCAATGCCCGTTTGATTTGTTTTCTTACAGAGCAATAAAGTCATTAGAACAATTGGTTTTTAAAAGACTTAAGTGGATGCATCCTGTGCATGTAAGCATTATTTCCCAAGCCAAAGTATTAGTCTCCATTTATTTCTTTTGCTACTGCTCAGCCTGAAGTCAGGAGCTGAGATGAGATGGCTGCTGATTTCACAATAGTCGGGATGCCTTACTCTCAGCTTAACGCCGCCATCCAGAATTTCCTCCCTCTCTGATTCAGTGTGCATAACTGAGTGTAGAGTCAAGATGAATTCTCTGAACACGGGGGTGGATAGTTTGACTGCTGTCTGTACAATGGAATGATGGAGTACAAATGCCCTTTGTCTCTAATGCCATATTCCATTCAATAAAGACAACACAGTGGCTGGAAAGAGCATAGAAGAGTGTGTGTCTTGAGCTCTGCGTGACACCTTCTGGCACAGTATTATCACACCCACGCAAATTTAATTTGCATTAAAAAACTGATTTGCCTTTTGAAATTGAACAAAAGGAGGTTACTGTAGATAGCCTCCAAGGGGGTCCCCCAGTGGTCCGGCCTCCTGATAGTCTTGCCCTGCTATTCCCCTACCAACCCTCTCTTTTCACATCTCTCTAAGGTATCTATAAAGTATTGAAAAGGACAGAAGTGCACATAGTTAAAATAACAGCTGGAAGACAGCCTACTCTAGAATCCCAGTCTGCAGGCAAGAAGAGTGGGATCGTGTCCCAGAGGGGTGAAAAAGTCAGAAGGAAAAGTAGCTGTTTTGTGTGCTGAAGGCTTTAGCGAATGCTGACCAGCAGGGCGTAGGTTGGTATAAAAGAAAATTCAGCATTGCTCAAAATAGTCTCCCTAGGACACTGAGTGAGCAGGTGTGCTGCACAGATTAATCACAAAACAAAATTCTACAACAACTCGGACAGAAAATCAAACCTAATTTAATGGCATCCCGTAACAGCGTCTTAGGTTTTGCTCAGTTGCTGTCCTGTTGTGTGTTTTGAACAACACCTGGTGTTTTTGACCCTCAGAACATGTTGTTTTTCTTAGCTTCCATGAGGAGTTTTAAATAATCCTCAGTTTTCCTGCAGGCCATAGAAACTTTTAACTTACCTTAAAATTTTAACAGAGAATAGAAATTTATTTTATAGTTCCTTTGTAAAAATTAAAAAGTGACAGTTTTTTAATCATCTCACTGAGTTTAAACAGCTCTGAAACATCTTGCGTGTCTGTGTAGAAGTCAGGATATACTGAAGTCCTGGAAAAGTACAAGACCTATTTCCAAGAAATATTTTCAGATTTCCTTCCCTGGTTTCTTTTTTTGTTTAGTTGGTTTTTGTCCCAAAAAGTCCTTTATTTAACTTATTTATTTATTCTTTTAATTGAGAGAACATTTAGACCCTCCCCCCTCAGGAATCGCCACTCTAGTGTACCCACCACAGAATCACCCATAATCCATCACCATAGTCCACTGTGCTCCCCCACAGTGTGTGGGGTCACACTGAAACCCAGGTTTTCAGGTTATTCCCCTGACACCATCTTTTCTTACATGACATCTTTTTTCTCCTTTAAAACTAGTTTCTTAAAAGTTATGTGCTTTGTTCATTCTTCTCCAGTCATTATATGATTTAAAAAATAAAATATATGACTTTTCCCAAGGTCAGCTTTGACCATGCTAATGTCCTGTTGTATCCATTTCTGTAATTAACTCTGTAATTAGTTTTGATTACTTGATTTTTTTTTATTTCTTGTGTGTGTGTGTGTATTTTGTACAGTTTCTGCTTTCAGAACTAGCATTTTATTTTGTTCTTTAATATACATGTAATCTTTATAAATATCAATGAATGTTGAAAAAGTTGATCATAAAGTGCGTACAGTTCAATATGCATCTACAAATAAACACTTAAGTATTTATGTCACCTGTGTGCACTCTCTAAGACAAGGAAATCAGTAGTAAGCAACCGTAGGACTGAAGTGACAGGCACCTGGTCTCCGGTCCTTAGTGTCAGTCTCAGAGGGAGAACACACCAGCCAATACTTCATCACAATTTCCCCTTCCACATCTAGGATGAATCACTAAGATAATTTCCTAAATAAACAATCTCTTTAACTGCCTGGAGAAAACTGTAAAGAAGCCACTGGCTTAACTGAGTGACACTGTATAAAGAAGCAACTTTCAAGTGAAGAAGTTCCAAAAATATTTGTGGAAAACTTCAGTGACAGGTCGTGAAGCTTTGGCAGGGTGAACAATTACAGTGATGGAGCCAGAGATCACAGTTGGGTGAAGGCTCCAACACCACTCCATGAGAGCCATCTACAAACCAGCAAGGGCAAAACTCACATCATGAACGAGTAAAATGTATTCATATTCAAGAGTGTCTAATTCTGGATGTGGTGAATCATAAGTTTCTGGGTTTTGATCTTTATAATGGTTGTTATTTTTGCAGTAGAACCAACAAATAGTTCTGGACTCTGCTGGGAAAAACTGTCATCAAAGAAATAATACTGAACACATAATTAGTGCTATAAAGGAGAGAGTAGAGTAACCACAGAATATACTAGAATACCAAAAACTAAGAACTAGTTTTTTAATTCAAAACTGAATACACTGGAGCTATACCATTTCCATTAGATATTGAGTCTACAAAAATTCAATGCTCTCATGCTAAAAATGTTCTCACTTTCCAAAATGGTGACTTCAGATTGGAAGTGGTAGCGTGGTTTTCAGCTCTCTTACAATGTCCCAGCCCTTTGAGGCACTTCAGTTTCATTAGAATTTATGGAGGATGGAGAGAGTAATTTGTGGAGGTGAGGTGGACTTTTCAGCATGGGGCACTTCTTTTAACTTTTTAAAGTATAAACCATCCCAATAGGATGCTGCTTTCATGCTATCCAGTAGGCAACTTGAGAAATATTGGTAGCACTGGAATATTGGTGGGAGGTGGGAGCTGGTGAGGAGGACCATTGTGTCCACTGCACAAAGAGGGGAAGGGGGATGATTGCCCGCTTTGACCTGGGATGCTCTCCTCCCAGACAGGGTGATGGCCATATTTTGTTTCCTGAGAAATGGCCCCAGGCAGGCAAGTCATCTACTAAGGATTCTACCCCACATCGATCCAGATATTTAAAACCCCTCCCTGCTGGTACAAGGGGTTAAGTATCAGCACTGTAAAGCTATCGCCAGCCACTGCAGCACAAATTCTATCCCCACTCACTCCCCAGCTAGGGAGGTGACCCACATGGTGCCGCAGACCTCTCTGTCTCCCCACTGCTCCCCTCAGCAGTGTATTGCAGTAGATGTGCCTGTTTAGTAGATGAGCTCCCCACCCTGTCTCTGGTAAATCCTCTTTCCCTCCCATACCTCTGGCCTGTACTCCTCTCTTTTATGCATAAATAAATCAATCTTTAAAAAAAAATTCAAAGATTAATGAAGGTTAAAATATCAAAATGGGACGGAAGCAAATATACAGACAGCTTCACAACAGAGGGAACAAGGATTTTTAGAATACAGGCATCCTGTGCTTTAGGTCAGATGCCTATCATATTCATGAGGGATTTCACAGAGCCTTTTGCTACAAGAATACCAGAAACATGATCTACATGAATTACAAAAGTTGCATTTGTAAATGACCAAACCGGTCTTTCATTCTTGCCCAGAAAGCAAACTCTGAACTCCAGGAGATGGCCATCAGGGAGTCGGTGAAATAGGCATGCAAAGGGCCTCAGTGACAGAGTACTGGGATTTTGTAGGGAGCAAAGAAACATGAGGGACCTCAGTACTTGTATTTCCAGGTCCACGAAGTGCCAAGCAATCCAGGCGGTAGGACATGAGGTGTGTGACCCTCCCAGAGGGTGTTTCCTCAGCCATCAGCAGATGTTTGTTTCTGATGCCACCAGAAACATAGAATTTTATTAGGGATGCATTTCAATCAATAGGCCAAGGTCTGAGGAACAGACATGGGGCTAGTTAACAGTTAATCATGAGGAGGCGGAGAAAGAAGAAAGCATAAAGATTTGAGTAAATTCCATTTATTCATCATTTTTAGTCTAGGGGAGTTTTTGTTGCCAAATGCAGGGATCTGGCTATACTTTGCTCCCTTTCAATTATAGGGGCAAGGAAGGAAATCTTCAATACTGGAAATCAGTTTTATAGAAAACATAATTCTTGCAGACATGTGATATTAAAACCATAAAAACCAAGGCAATGAAGCAAGGCAAATCTTGAGCCAGTGCTCGAAATAAAGAAATTTGTGGGAACTTTGCTTACAAGAAACGTGATTTGTACTTACAGAAGGATCAGCCATCTGAAGAATGTTGTGTACTCCACAGAAGGGGAGTGAACATGGGTGGCAAGGACTGGGCCTGGAGGGCGTAACAGAAGCAGATCTGGACTCAAGATAAGATTCCAGAAGTGTGTGGGGGCCGGGGAAGCGGGGCTGATGGGAGGGGAGCGGAGCAGGCAGTAAAGAATCACTAGTACAGAAGCAAGAAGGAGCAAGCTATGTCCTCAGAACTCTCCAGGAGAGACCTGTGTTTCCTGAAGGAAGAAACACTTTAAGACCTTTATCTGGAGCCCTGAGGGAATCAGCTGAAATGACAACAGATTGATGATAAGCTGACTTGTGGGAAGGGTGGGTTCTACTGGGCTTTAGTTTGAGCAAGATGAACCTCAGCTGAGTCTCCTAGAACCCCAGAAGAGAGGCCCTAGACCTCAGCCCTTTGAGACCCACTGAAGATTCTGAATTCCACAAATGTCAGGTTTTACATTTGTATTGTTTAAGTCACCAAATTCGTGGCTGTTTGGTGTATCAACCACGGACTGTGATGTCACCCAGCCACTTGGGAGGTGGAGAGACCATGGGAGAAATCTAACTGAATCTTTAGTGGGGGGGGGAGGTGCCTTAAGAATAATGCCACAGAGGACCAAAGAGAAAAATAAGTTCCCAGTCGGAATAAGCCACCCAAAGAGAAAAGAAAAAATCTAATAATATGGCCTTAACGTGGAACCAATATAGGAAGTTATTATTCCCTTCTGGGGATACAACAGGACAAGGAAGTCTGAGGATGAGAGGAGGAAAGATTTCTCAGTCTGGCCAATAGGGTTGCATCCAAGGGATTCCGATCGGGCCGCTGGGCTTCACAGAGGACACAGACGCAGTCTTGCTTAGAAAACAGTGTCACTGGGCTTAGGGGCCCCTGTGTTTGGGGTTGCCTGGGCCCCTGACTATGATGTGAGCTTTCACAGCCAACACTTTAGCAGAAGCAAAGGCAAAATTTATTTAAAGACAGGATAAAAGGGCACCAGAGAAAGGTCCCTGGGCAAGCAGGACCCTGGGTAAACAACTGCAAGGGAGTAGTGGGGCTCCAGTCTTAAATGGGGTGCTGTCCCTCCATCTCTTCCTGGGGTGCATGCACAGGCTCTCCTGGGGTGCAGTTTGGCAGTCCCGGCAGCAGCTGGGAGCAAGGGAGAAGGCTTGACCTGAGTTTCCGTGGGGTCAACCAGCAACACCCTACCCTTGGGATGAGGAGAGAACTGGGGGTTGGAGGGGAGGTTGGGGGATCATTTTCAAGGAAGTCCCCATCTCTCCGCCCCCATGTTTCTTGCTCTCCCCAAGCATTGGGCCTGAGTGTAGTTTGGGTGATGCCTACCTTTCTCCCCACATGGCTTTGTCAGCTCTGGCAAGTGTTTCCTGGGGTCCTGGTAGAGCTAGCCATAGGCGCTGCCCTCCCTGCCTCCACGACTAACAAACGAATTCCAGGACATGCATGTACACACGCACACACTCAGGTAGAATTTTCACAGGGTACTGATAAAGATTTAAGCAGATACTGGCTCCTTGGTTCAGTCGAGTGGTCTCAAAGCTATTCATCATTTTATACACAATAAGCAAAGTCTCATTGCCTCAGCTTCTGGAAGGCATTCCCTAGGGATCTCTGGCTCTGTATCTCTACCTTTTTCCCCCCTCTGACCACTTCCTCAACACCACCAAAGAGCACAACTGAGTCTCCACAGAAATGACCCAGTCTCAGGAGGGTTGCCACACATTGTCTATCAACTCCTTCGGCCTCAGGAGATGAGTGTCAACATTTTCTATTCCTCCCAATTTCTCTTCTACCTAGAAGGGAAGGGCAGATTCCTGTCTCAGTGACCTCCAGCTTCCTGTAATTGGGGGAGAGCTACAGTGGGCTAAAGACATGCTCTGGTGCAGTGTTGGGGAGCTGGTTAGGTGAACATTCCCACTCCCACTGCAATTTATCTTTCAAATGCACTTTATATTTCAAGACACATCAACCAACCATTACGTAGTAATAAGAAACTGACAAAGCTTGTGGGAAACAAGGAGACTATAATATGCTTGGGTTGATTCGAGTAGATAAAAATAAAAAAAAAAAACAGATTTATGAGGCATCATGAAATCCATGTGGAATCACTGTCCTTGACAGGTGGGCGCAAACAGCTGATACTAAGAGAACTGGGACAGAAGAAGGATGCGCAGGCTGGCAACAGCGAGGCAGTGACTGAACAACCCAGTCCTTCCCCTTATAGGGCAACAACGAGGGACCCAGGGCACTGAGGCAAATCAGCCAGGCTGCTTGGCACCAGTGTCCTGGCACCATGAGCTCACAGCTCCTGCCCCCTTGCAAAGCCTTTTTTGGTGGTGTGGTTCTTTTGCAGAGCCAACCAAAAAGCCAGGTTCATCTTCGGGAAACCTCCCTTTGACCCTTTGTCGTTCTGTGCAAAACACTCTAATGGCTTCTCTGGTCCCCCGGGGCAGCCCAGTGGGAGCAGTGGGAGTCTTCTCTGGTGGCCTCAGGCCATACTAAGCAACTCCTACGCTGCCCAGAGACATTCTCAGCTCCTGTAACTTCTTATTTAGTGGTGGT